CCCCCGGGCCGGGTTCTGAGCAGACCCTGGGTGCTCCCCGAGTTTGGGTTCCTGATACCTTCATTTCTCCTGCTCCTGAATCCCCTAGAATCTCAGGGGGATTTTCACCCCCAAGTCCCGGACTCCTGGGTCCCTCCATTCTGACACCCCGGTTTCCCTTGGCTCCTTGCTCTTCTCCGATGCCTGGGTCCTGCCACTGGACCCGGACTCCTGGGTCCCCTTCCACCAATGCTCCCCGCCTCTGGCGCTGGGAACCACTCCCCACGTTTCTCCTCCCAGACCCTGAGCTCTTGGATTCCTGGCTCCCACCCCCCTCCTCTCAGCCCCGGGCCGGACTCCTGGGTTCCCTTCCCCCACCCTCTCCGGCGCCCGGCCTCTTGGGTCCCCAGCCCCTGCGGCGCGGCGGTCTCTCGTCCCGTTGCTCACAGTACACTCATCCATAAAGTAGGAAACACTACACGGGACGCGGCGGTTTAGTAGTGCTTTCTACTTTATGGAGGAGTGCACTGTCCGTATCGGTGCCAGTCCTCGGGCGGCGTCCCCCGGCGGGCACTGCCTGTGCCAGGCTCCGGCTGCCCCATCCCTCCCCTGCCCTTCCCTCAGCTCCCACTGCCTGCGGTCCCCGGCTGGGTAACGAACAGGGAGCCACAAGCAGAGGGGGCCGGTTCAGGGACCCTGTGTTGGATTGTCAGAACCCAGGTCCCCGCTCTGATCCGCTAGATCCGCTCCCCTCCCAGAGCTGGGAGAGAACCCAGGCATCCGGGCTTCCAGCCCTCTCTGCTCTAACCAGTAGCCCCCACTCTCCTGCCAGAGCTTTAGTTCGGTATAATTAACAAAATGATGACTCATGTGGTGATTGTTATAAGCTAACGAGCACTTATTAATTGAGACTGATTTAACAGCAACCGGTTACAATGATCACTGAATTATTAATTCTCTAATTACTATATTAAACTAAAGATCCCGTAGCCACAGCCCGTTGCCAATTATCAAACGAGTCCTCACGATCTCCAAGGTGGATCCGCTGCTCGTTAGCTGGCGAGGAAAGATTTAGGTGCCATTTAACGCTGCAGACCTCAGGGTCTTGATTGAATTACTCATTAGAAAATGGGGATTAATGACTAAATACTATTCTTAAGTGACTAATAATTCTACAGTTCTGACCAATTGTTAATGTTCGTTTCTGGCTGCAAAAAGGATTTGCTAGGCTGCAGATAAATCAGTGTGAAAGGGGGAATTCGT